TCAAAAACAAAACGCAGAGAGGGCTCTCGAGAGTCTTTCAAATTACTTCAAAAACAAAACACAAAAGGTTCCCGAGATTCTTTAAAATTACTTCGAAAATAAGACCCACAAAGGAGTCCCGAGATTCTTTCAAATTACTTCAGAAACAAAACACAGAGGGGTCCCGAAATTCTTTCAAATTACTTCAAAAACAAAACAAAAGGGGTCCACGAGATTCTTTTAAATTACTTCAAATACTGTACACAAGAGGTGCCCGAGATTCTTTCAAATTACTCCAAAAACAAAACACAAGGAGTTCCCGAGATTCTTTTAAATTGCTTCAAATGCAGCACATCGAAAGACCTCAACGTTCTTTCAAATTACTTCAAAAACCAAACAAAAAGGGTCCACGAGATTCTTTTAAATTACTTCAAATACAAGACACAAAAGGCTCCCGAGATTCTTTCAAATTACTTCAAAAACCAAACAAAAAGAGTCCACGAGATTCTTTCAAACCAGTTCAAAAATAAAATACAAGAGGTCAACGAGATATTTTTAAATACCTTCGAATACAATACATAAAAACCTCAAGATTCTTTCAAATTACTTCAAAAACAAAACGCAGAGGGGGCTCTTGAGAGTCTTTCAAATTACTTCAAAAACAAAACAAAAGGAGTCCACGAGATTCTTTTAAATTACTTCAAGTACAATACACAAGAGGTGCCCGAGCTTCTTTCAAAGTACTCCAAAAACAAAACACAAGGAGTTCCCGAGATTCTTTTAAATTGTTACAAATGCAGTACACCGAAAGATCTCAAAGTTCTTTCAAATTACTTCAAGTAGGTACAATTTATACCGATTTTTCGAAACATTCGGATTGACATCTGCGGCCCGAAATCTACAAGAAAATGTATTTAGTGAAATTTCAAAAATTTTGTTGAAAATTGGTCGAAAATTGGGGTATTTTGCATATTTTGAAAGTTTCAAAGGACGATTTTGGAAAAACTATTGGAGTTATCTTAGAAATGAAAGCGGATATGATTTCTGCGGCCCGAAATCTACAAGAAAATGTATTTAGTGAAATTTAGAAAATTTTGTTGAACGTTGATCGAAAATTGGGGTATTTTGCATATTTTTGAAAGTTTCAAACGACGATTCTGGAAAAACCCGAGAAAAACCATTGGAGTTATCGACGAAATGAAAGCGGATATGACTTCAGCGGGCCGAAATCTACAAGAAAATGTATTTAGTGAAATTTAAAAAATTTTGTTGAAAATTGGTCGAAAATTGGGCGGATTTTGCATATTTTAATATATTTCAAAGGTTATTCTGGAAGAACCATTGGAGTTATCGAAGAAATGAAAGCGGATATGACTTCTGCGCCCCGAAATCTACAAGAGAATGTTTTTAGTGAAATTTCGAAAATTTTGTTGAAAATTGGTCGAAAATTGAGTGGATTTTGCATATTTTTATACATTTGAAAGGATTATTCTGGAAGAACCATTGGAGTTATCGAAGAAATGAAAGCGAATATGACTTCTGCGGCCCAAAATGTACAAGAAAATGTATTTAGTAAAATTTCGTAAATTTTGTTGAAAATTGGTCGAAAATTGGGCGGATTTTGCATATTTTTATATATTTCAAAGGACGATTCTGGGAGAACCATTGGAGTTATCGAAGAAATAAGAGCGGATATGACTTCCGCGGCCCGAAATCTACAAGAAAATTATTTTGTGAAATTTCGAAAATTTTGTTGAAAATTGGTCGAAAATTGGGGTATTTTGCATATTTTTAAAGTTTCAGAGGACGATTCTGGAAAAACCATTGGAGTTATCGAAGAAATGAAAGCGGATATGACTTCTGCGGCCCGAGATCTACGAGAAAATGTATTTAGTAAAATTTCGAAAATTTTTTTAAAAATTGGTCGAAAATTGGGGTATTTTGAATATTTTTGAAAGATTCAAAGGACGATTTTGGAAAAACCATTGGAGTTATCGAAGAAATGAAACCGAATATAACTTCTGCGGCCCGAAATCAACAAGAAAATGTATTTTGTGAAATTTCGAAAATTTTGTTAAAAATTGGTCGAAAATTGGGGAATTTAGAATATTTTTGAAAGATTCAAAAGACGATTCTGGAAAAACCATTGGAGTTATCGAAGAAACGAAAGCGGATATGACTTCTGCGGCCCGAAATCAACAAGAAAATGTATTTTGTGAAATTTCGAAAATTTTTTTGAAAATTGGTTGAAAATTGGGGATTTTGCATATTTTTGAAAGTTTCAAAAGACGATTCTGGAAAAACCATTAGAGGAATCGAAGAAATGAAAGCGGATATGACTTGTGCGGCCCGAAATCAACAAGAAAATGTATTTTGTGAAATTTCGAAAATTTTTTTGAAAATTGGTTGAAAATTGGGGATTTTGCATATTTTTGAAAGTTTCAAAAGATGATTCTGGAAAAACCATTAGAGGAATCGAAGAAATGAAAGCGGATATGACTTGTGCGGCCCGAAATCTACAAGAAAATGTATTTAGCGAAAATTTCGAAAATTTTGTTGAAAATTGGTCGAAAATTGGGGTATTTTGCATATTTTTGAAAGTTTCAAAGGACGATTCTGGAAAAGCCATTGGAGTTATCGAAGAAATGAAAGCGAATATAACTTCTGCAGCCCGAAATCTACAAAAAAATGTATTTAGTGAAATTTTAAAAATTTTGTTCAAAATTGGTCGAAAATTGGGCGGATTTTGCATATTTTTATATATTTCAAAAGATTATTCTGGAAGAACAATTGGAGTTATCGAAGAAATGAAAGCGTATATAACTTCTGCGGCACGAAATCTACAAAAAAATGTATCTTGTGTAATTTCGAAAATTTTGTTGAAAATTGGTCAAAAATTGGGGTATTTTGCATGTTTGAAAGTTTCAAACGACGATTTTAGAAAAACCATTGGAGTTATCGAAGAAATGAAAGCGGATATGATTTCAACGGGCCGAAATCTACAAGGAAATGTATTTAGTGAAATTTCGAAAATTTTGTTAAAAATTGGTCGAAAATGGGGTTTTTTGCATATTCTTGAAATATTCAAAGGACTATTCTGGAAAAACCATTGGAGTTATCCCAGAAATGAAAGCGAATATGACTTCTGCGGCTCGAAATCTACAAGAAAATGTATTTTGTGAAATTTCGAAAATTTTGTTGAAAATTGGTCGAAAATTGGGCGGATTTTGCATATTTTTATCTATTTCAAAGGACGATTCTGGGAGAACCATTGGAGTTATCGCAGAAATGAAAGCGGATATGAGTTTTGCGGCCCGAAATCTACGAGAAAATGTATTTAGTGAAATTTAGAAAATAATGTTGAAAATTGGTCCAAAATTAGGCGGATTTTGCATATTTTTATATATTTCAAAGGACGATTCTGGGAGAACCATTGGAGTTATCGAAGAAATGAGAGCGGATATGACTTCTGCAGCCCGAAATCCACAAGAAAATGTATTTTGTGAAATTTCGAAAATTTTGTTGAGAATTGGTCGAAAATTGGACAGATTTTGCATATTTTTATATATTTCAATGGAGGATTCTGGAAGAACCGTTGGAGTTATCGAAGAAATGAAAGCGGATATGACTTCTGCGGCCCGAAATCTACAAGAAAATGTATTTAGTGAAATTTCGGACATTTTGTTGTAAATTGGTCGAAAATTGGGGTATTTTGCATATTTTGAAAGTTTCAAAGGACGATTCTGGAAAAACCGTTGGAGTTATCGAAGAAATGAAAGCCAAAGACTAGTTAAGCCTCACCTATACCCACCCCGATTTCAATTGTGATTAATTTTTCATTCGATACCAGAATTGGGGGAGGAGATAATTTCAGAATCGATATTTCTCTAGAAAAATTTACCATTTTAAACGTGTTTTAAGTAGTTTGTTATTGAAAGAAGAACGTATATTAAGAAAAAAAGGCAAAATATAAGCCCCGCCCACCCGCCCGATCTCAAATGTGACTTTTTTAAATCGTCGTGAGCAAATCCTTATTTTTCTACAAGAAGTTACCATCTAATAAAACATGTTTTTAAATAATCGTATTGTTTAAAGGAAACTATATGTATTAAGTAAAAAAGAAAGCCAAAGATTAAGCCTTAAGAATTTTTCATTTGTTGTCAGAGTGGTGGGAGGAGCTTAATTTACTGCACTGCTGACAGAACTAACGTTTTAAGAAGATCTCCAGTTAGTATCATGTGTAGTTACCTCATTATGTGACATTCATTTTGACAATCTAGGAAAAATTAAAAAAAAATTAAAATAAATTATTATTACTATTATTAGTACTAAACAATGCTGTGTATAGATTTTCCAGCCCGGACTTCAAAAGAGCACCACTCTTCCCCGAAACGCACCCCGTGTAAAAATTAGCAATTCCCATTACGTAAATGGATCGGATTGTAGAGAAATGCGATTTCGCGTCCTGCATGCGCATCTACATTTCCAATATTAGTTCTGTAGAGCAAACCCAATTAAAGTGGCTCTAATTCGACAAAGTATCGATATTACGTCTGTTCTCTCCATCTATTTGTATATATCTACCTACATCTAGGCGCCATCCCGACAGCGCGCAATACCCGATGTATAATTACCAGTATGACGACTGTCTCGCTCATGATGTCACGTATCTACTTAATATAGTTAACTTAATCAGAATTAATTCGCTGTTAATTTAACCGATGTGACCGACAGCGTAGGCTTTATCTAATTTAAAAACCCGGCTCGAGCACCGGTTTATATAGATATTTCAGTTATGCATATTAGCTGCGGCACAACACCGCCAGATTCTCGAAAAAGATTTCGGAAATTTCTTGTAGAAGTAGCAGTATGGTCGAGTTTGGAAAGACACCCGCAAGTGTCACCTGCTGGACCTCTTCTTAAAAAGTAATAATTATAATGTATAGGTATATGGTGATCTGACAATTTTTACTCGTAATAAATATTTACCTCTTTCTCATTTCCTCGTTTTTCTGTTTCAGATTGCGGGTGGGGGAGGCAGAGGCATGTTCTGCTACCACTGCCCGCCCGCCTTGCACCCCGGAGCGCCCCAGCCGCGACTCCCCACCCTGGAGTACCCCTTCACCCCGACGCACCCCTGTGAGTAGCTACTTTGTCCGGCGAGATTAGCGCATAATCGCAGGTTGTCAAAAATACTTGCGATCGGAGGTCAAAACTAATGCGCTAACTAAATCCGCCCTTAATGCGACATGCGGTGCCGAAACTTGCGTTATTAGGGGTGGACTCTCGGGAGACTGATCGCCGCAACGCACATGTTGATAAGAGCAAAAATGCAGTAATAAAATTGTCCCATTTGCGGGTGTGCGGGTTTGGGGAAGGTCGCTTTGTGATTTTTTCAAGAGGGATGAAGAAGCGAGAGCTTAAGGTGGTTAGAAACGTGGAGGACGGTTGCTGGAAAAGTTGCATGTTTGGAGGTGGATGTGTGTCCTTGGACGTATTTCGTGTACATCAATTAATTAAGGAGGATAAGGCGGTTTAAGTAAAAGTCTAGACTGAAACTAGTGGTTTAAATTTTTTTTTTCCTCCATCGAAATTAATACGCTAATTCTTGTTCATCATTTAGCTCTGACGATGGTACCAGTGGATACCGAAACACGTTAGCCCTCACTTTATAATGAAATTTGAACTTATATTTTCGCATCTTTTTGATATAATCGCCGAAATTAGTTTGACGCCCACTGATCGCTTCTTTAACTTTTTCCTTCAACTTCCCTTTACATCACCTACTTTCCGCCTAAACCCACACACATACCCAGAACTTATCTCTCCCGCCACTCGTACAAAGCCCGGAATTTATGCCGATTCGCCGCGCCAAAAATCCCCCATCTGCTAAAGTGACAGCTCGCGACACAATGGCACCGATAATGACAGACCGTCAGGTACGGGATTAACGGCTAATCGCATCATCACAGGGCGCATTAGTGCACTCTGACCTCGGCGAGGCGGTGACGCCGCCCCCACGAGAGAAAGCACTGATACATTTCAATCGTTGTGATGCTTGTCATTGAGTCATGAAATTCCGGACCGAGCCCTGTCACCGACGATTACGTACTGATTTCGCATTCCATTTGGCGTATCGATGCTCGCAAAATCACACGGCCGAATTTAAATCCCGCTTTTTGAGCGGGACGTCCGGGAAATCCCGCCGATGTCGGATTTAATGAGAGGCGGCGGACGAGCTTGGGGTGGACGCGCGAAGTTGAGGAAGTTGGGAGCGGCCAGAAGGTGGAACAGTTAAATGTGTGGAAACGGTTAAATATCTTGAGAAGTAGGTATAAATATCAACTGAAATTAGGTTTAGGGGTACAAAAAGTTGTGCTCTAACTATTCGTCAAAAAATTTATTTTTTTGGTTTATTTGGTAGACTGAAACATATAAGTACTTATATCTAACTTATATCTAACCTAACACTAACTGAGACATAACTCATGAGCAAAATTAACAGCAATTATTGTTAAGAATAGAAAGGAATTCACGTCTGAATATATGTTTTGAATTCTGGAAAAGATCAAACTTTTCTAGGGATGCAAATTTGTTTCCAAGTTCCATTAGTCTATTAATTGGATTATTAAAAGCAAAATTTGTTTTTAACGAAGAATGGACTCTAAAAATGTTTACACTGCGTGTGTTACAAACCGAAGGATCGGGAACATAGAAATCAAATTGTGATAATATTTCAGGGCTAACAATATGAGCATTTATGACACCATGTAAAAGGCAACCATCCGACAGTATCCTCCTTGTATGCAAAGAAGGCAGGTTTATGAACTTGGTGATGATCTCGTATTGGCCTTTATGGTGGGGCCAATGCATTCGGAACTCCAAACATCTAAGAAACTTCTTTTGAATTCTTTCCAAATAATCATTATCCGTCTTATAAAAGGGAAACCATATTAGTGAACAATATTCCAAATGCGAACGTACGAGGGAACAGTAAAGTGTCTTTAAAGAGAACGTAGATAACATGTGACAGTGACGCCATACAAAACCCAACTTGTTCATTGACTTTTTGAAAATATAATCGTAATGAGATTTAAAAGACAATTTTGAATCAAACATCACACCGAGGTCTTTTATTTCATTTACTACCTTCAAGACACTGTCATTTATTTTATAGGTATGTTGGTATAAATTTTTTACTTTACAGAATGTTATAACATAACATTTATCAGTATTTAAAAACAATTGATTCCGATCACACCATTTATATAAGCTATTTAAATCAGATTGTAATTCCAACGCATCCTGGGGAGATTTAATAAGTTTAAAAATTTTCAAGTCGTCGGCGTAAAGTAAGAAATTAGAATATTTGAAACAAAATTGTAGATCATTGACAAACAGCAAAAATAATATTGGACCACAGTGTGATCCCTGAGGTACACCAGAAGTAACTTCAAAACTGCGGGATATAAAATTGCCAATTCTAACCTGTTGACATCTGCCCGATAAAAACGAAAACAACCAATCTACAGTGGAACTGTTAAACCCTAGTTGACTCAGTTTAGAGATCAGAATGTGATGACTGACCCTATCAAAGGCTTTTGCGAAGTCGGTGTAAATGGAATCCACTTGAGGCCTTACTTGAAATGAATTAGGTATTAAGAAACACGTAGTAAGACAATAAGTTTGTAAGAGAAGATTTACCTTTACAAAACCCATGTTGATGACTAGATAAAATCGAAGAAGAAGACCACTGTAGTTGTTTCGCAATAATGTAATCTAAAATTTTGGGGATTACTGATTGGATGCTCACCCCTCTATAGTTTTCTACTTTGGTTCGTGCTCCCGATTTAAAAATCGAAGACACATAACTACACTTCCAAACATCAGGAACTTTGGATTCCATAAGGGATGATTCAAACAATAGGAACAGTGGAACAGCCAAAGTACAAATGCATTTTTTTATAAGCATACTTGGAACACCGTCGGGGCCACAGGAATAAGAAGATTTAAGATTACTAATATTTTGAAAAACATCCAATAATGTTACCTTTAATCCACTATCAAAGACTTTTAAATTAGGTGAATTATTTTTTTGTAAATTTGTTGTGGGATCAGTAACATAGACTGTAGAAAAATATTCCGCAAACAGATTGGAAATATCTGCTCCATTGTCCGCTTTCTTATCTTTAAATGACATGTAATTAGAAATCCCATTATCCTTGTTCTTATTACGAATATATTTCCAAAAATAATTTGAGTTAGATGTAACACTAACATCAACTTGGGCAATGTACGAAGAATATAAATTTTCATTAAGGGTCTTGCAGCGAGATCGAATCGACTTGAAGTCAAGATAATCTACTAATTTGGCAGACAATTTATATTTAAAATGAGCGAGCCTTTTCTGGTAGCACAAATTTTTAAGATCCCTGTTAAACCATATCGGATAAGAACTCCCAGATTTAATCGTTTTCTTTGGAATATAGTAAGTAATGCCTGTAAACAAAATGTCATAGAATATCGAGACTTTAGTATCAACATTTTTATTACTGAAACAAGACGTCCAGTCCACATATGCCAAAAAATTATTAAGTGAGTGATAATCTCCGTTACCAAAATCAAAAACATACTTCTCCAAGAGTAAGGGAGCATCTGCTATACAAGGTACAGACCGCATATAAGGAATATGATGAAAATTTACATTCGATAACAGATCCATAGCTTCGCTAATTTCTATATCCTTAATATTAGAAAAGATTAGATCAAGAAAGACGCCTCTTTCATTTGGGATCATATTAATTTGGTTCATGTTTAAAAACGAATACAACCCACTGATTATATCAAAATTGCTCCGTGGCCCTGCACACGACATAAACATATTGTCATCAATCTTTATATTAGGTAAATTAAAATCCCCGGCAATAATATATTTGGACTCAGGGTATTTGTTAAAAATATTTTCTAAATCATCACAGTGGTTCCTATAAATAACTTCCGCAGAACCAGGAGGGAAAAAGATGCCTCCCACAATAAAGTTAAATTCCTTAATCTGAAAACGAAGGTAAATACTTTCAACTGATTGACCTATAAAGATAGTTGAGGAACATATATCTTTTTTTACAGCCACCAGTACACCACCACCTCTAACTTTACCACTAACACTAAAACTTCGATCAGCACGAAATATGTTAAAATTAGATAAACCTAGTTCTACATTGGAAACTTCATGTGTCAACCAAGATTCTACTATTATTATAACATCGTATATTGAAAAGTCATGAATCTTAGTATTTAGACCGACACCGCTTAACTTTTTTTGTGGGGTATACCTAACGAAATTGCTAGCATTTGTCCAGGAACCGCTCCGCGATATTTTAATAATCAATGTATGAAAAGTATTCAATACTTTTATTTATTTCGCAATATTTTTTTTATTTTCATTAGAGCATAATCAACTAAACACTAGAGAAAATGTTCAAAATTCTTACCTTGTGGATATAACTAAGCTCGTAATGTTTCCAAATTTTGATCATTTTTTAAAATAAAACTGATTTTAGCAATTATCAATAGCAATATCCTCTGAGAAAAGAGAGGGTGGGTAGGTGGGGCTAGTACCTGCTAAGAAATAATTGATTTTCGCAAATGAAGTGAAGCAATTTAATTAAATTATTTTATAATTATTTAATAATATAAGAAAAGACACTGAGGCTTCAAAACACTTTCAAATTCTTTCCAAACAGGAATACCTAGAACCTCAAGATTGTTTTAAATTTTCCAAAAAAACAAAAATCGGGGTCCCAAAATTAACTGAAAAACCGGTCAGGTCATAATTTTCCAAAAATAGAACACCAAAGTCCCCCAAAATTGTTTTAATAACAATAATAATGAACTCCTTCATTTTACCAAAATATCTCACAAACTCGATCTCTTTTGAAAAACTTCAAGATAACATAATAAATACAAACACCAATCATATACCCTCCACCCCTCATTGGGAAACACGGTTAAATTATAAAATTAATAACATTAGAAAATAACTAGGTCAAATGACACAGTACCTTAGAGGAGTTAAAACATGTATGCATTCGATACTGACCAACAATAATGTTCATCAAACTGATTACGATGAGTACAAC